GCACAGATCCTGCAGAACCCACGGATCCCACAGATTGTATGGATCCCAGAGATCCCAAAGATTGCATGGATCCCATGGATCCCACAGATCGAAAGGATCCCACAGATCCTACAGATTCCAAAGTTTTCACGGACCCCACAGAATGCACGGATCTCACAGATCCCAAAAATCACATGGATCCCACAGATTGTGCAGATCCCACAGAATGCACAAATTGCACAGATCCCAAAGATYSCAYGGATGCCACAGATCCTACAGACCCCACAGACTGCTCGGGAAGGGTCTGATCCCCCCCGGGAAGGGTCCGAGCCCTCGGGAAGGGTCTGATCCTCCCAATCCATCCCCTAAAAGGCTCCGGGAAGGCTCAGCTGCCGGTTTGGGGGTGATTTTGGGGTTTCATCGCAGCTCTGGGTGCTCCGGAGGGAGCGAGGGAGGGCTGGGTGCGATCTGTGTGATTTGTGGGATTTGTAGGATCCGTGGGATTGGTGCGATCTGTGGGATCCGTCTGATTTGTGGGATCTGTGCATTCTGTGGGATTTGTAGGATCCATGGGATTGGTGCGATCTGTGGGATCCGTGTGATTTGTGGGATCTGTGGGATCTGTAGTATCTGTGGGATCCCTGCTTTCCGAGGGGCTCGGACCCTTCCTGAAATCTCGGACCCTCCCCCAGGGGCTCGGACACATCCCAAAGGCTCGGACCCTTCCCGAGGGTTTGGACCCTTCCCCAGAGCTCGGACCCTCCTGGAGGGCTCGGACCCTTCCTGAAAGCTCTGACCGGACTCTTCCCCAGGGCTCGGACCCTTCCCGAGGGGCTCGGACAATTCCCGAGGGGGTCAGACAGGTGGATCCGGGGGGGATCAGACCCTCCCCGAGGGAATCAGACCCTTCCCAGGGCTCGGACCTTTCCCCAGGGCTGGGATCGGACCCTCCCCGGCGGCTCGGACCCTTCTTGAAAGCTCGGACCCTTTCCCAAGGTTTGGACCCTTTCCCAGGGGCTCGGACCCTCCCCGAGGGGCTCAGATCCTTCCCGAGGGCTCGGACCGTTCTGGAGGGGCTCGGACCCTCCTGGAAGGGCTCGGACCCTCCTGGAAGGGCTCGGACCCTCCCCGAGGAGCTCGAACCGGACCCTCCCCCAGGGCTCGGACCCTCCTGGAGGGTCTCGGACACTTCCCGAGGGTCTCAGACCTTTCCCAGGGCTCGGACCCTTCCCTCCTGAGGGCTCGGACCCTCCTGGAGGGGCTCAGACCGATGGATCCGGGGGGATCAGACCCTTCCCGAGGGTCTCGGACCCTTCCCCAGTGCTCGGACCGGACCCTTCCCAGTGCTCGGACCCTCCCCGAGGGTCTCGGACCATTCCCGAGGGCCTCAGACCCTTCCTGAAAGCTCGGACCCTCACCAGAGGTTCGGACCGGACCCTCCCCGAGGGTCTCGGACCCTCCTGGAGGAGCTCGGACCCTCCCCTGGGGCTCGGACACTTCCCAGGGGGCTTAGATCCTCCCCGAGGGCTCGGACCCTTCCCCAGTGCTCGGACCGGACCCTTCCCAGGGCTCGGACCCTCCCCGGGGGCTCGGACCGGACCCTTCCCGAGAGTCTCAGACCCTTCCTGAAAGCTCGGACCCTTCCCGAGGGCTCAGACCCTCCTGGGGGCTCGGACCCTTCCTGGAAGCTCGGCCGCTTCCCAAAGGGCTCGGACCCTTCCCCAGGGGCTCGGACCCTTCCCAAGGGCTCAGACCCTTCCCGAGGGGCTCGGACCGATGGATCCGGAGGGGATCAAACCCTTCCCGAGGCCTCGTACCCTTCCCCAATGCTCGGACCCTCCCCGAGGGCTCGGACCGAACCCTTTCTCAGTACTCGGACCGGACCCTCCTCCAGGGCTCGGACCCTCCCGGGGGCTCGGACCGGACCCTTCCCCAGTGCTCGGACCCTTCCCGAGCGCTTCCCAAATCTCCGGCCCGGAGCGTTTGGGCCGGAGCCGCCCTCGGGGAATTCCTGAAGAGAAGGAGCCTGAGAGGATCCATAAACCCGCCATAAACCCGCCATAAATCCGCCATAAACCCGCCCTAAATCACCCCGCGGCGGGGYTAATCCGGTTACAGCGCTCTCAGCCCCGTTTTTAACCGGGTTAGGTGAAACCGGGAGAAGAACGGGAGCATTTCCATGGCTCCCGACGGATCCGATTTCCGCCGCTATCGCTGCGCTGCATCGGCGGAGCCGCGTCCGAAACGGGAGAAACCCAACCSGCCCGCGGGGAGAGCCCCGGAGCGGCCGCGTTTGGGGTTTGGAGGGTGGAGAATGTGGGAATAACTCCGATTTTTAAAGAAAATTAAGTCTTTTCAGGATTTTAGGATCGACTCAAAGCTYTGGAAGCGAATCGTGAGCCGGCAGTGCCCTCTGCTTGGCCAGCCCGGGATGTGCAGTTCTCCTTTTCTTCCGAAATTCCAAAATCCCAAAATTGAGGGTGGGAAAGGTGGGAAAAAAAATCCCCGCTGTGCTCCTCCAGCCCCGCGGTTAAAGAGAGGGAATTGAGGGGTTTTAGGGTCGGATTGGAACT